AATAAAAAATGGTATGGGAGAGAGAGAGAGAGAGAGAGAGAGAGAGTGTGTGTGTGTGTGTGTGTGTGTGTGTGTGTGTGTGTGATATGCAATATCCCACCTTTTCAAATATACAAGACCCTCTGTTTTAGTAAGTATGAAATACAGTCCAAAGAAGGGGTTGTCGTCAGGCCATCAGATAAGCCGATCAGGTCTCTTTAACGAATAATTGAACATTGTCCTTCAAGATGTTTCACTCAGATGGCTCTGAATATCAAGATTTGGAGAAAATCATTTACCACTTATTTTTCCTACACAAAACAAGACGTGTATATGTTTGAAGAATCCGTTCGTGACTTGGTTGCTTGGCCCTGTGGGGTCTTCTGGCTTTTATCTGTTTCTCTGCTCCACAGCAGCCTTCTTCAAATGCCCCAAGTAGAATGACCTTGACTACAGTTTAATACAGAGAGCACAGGAAATTCTTGAGGAAAAGGCTGTAAAGGGGCTTGGCAGAGGGGTGGGGTAGATAAGGATTCCTAAAGAAGAAACTGAACCCTCCAGAGACCTACATCATGGTAACTAGTTCCATTGCGCTCCGGGGAAACAGGCGTGACTTTGAACAAGCCCGTCACACTCTGAGCTTCTGTTTCCTCACCTGTAACTAGTAAGGGTAGCACTGCACATCTGCCCAGGTTATTGTAAGAATAACAGGATGTTGAGAAAGCACTTTGGAAAACAGAGCATTCGAGCAGCGTGAGCTGTTTTCTAGTGTGAGGCAGGAGGACATCTGTGTGGACTCCAGGGACCTTGCCCATTATTAGCCAGATTAAACAGGAGGTTCTTCTGCTTGTCACTGCCAACAGCTGCTGCTTGCACGCGGGGTACACAGGGGGACCCCTGGGGAGGCGGAGCCTGCGGCAAGGGAGAGGTGGCGCGATGCTTTGTACCCTGGGGCAGCCCACCGTTGCCAACTCTGTGGTTCCTGGGCTCTGCCGTCGAGAGGCTGTGGGCAAGGCAGCCCTTGCATATCTCGTGGGTCATTCTCCACCAGGAAAGTTCTGTGCCAGCTTTGAGACGTCAAAAGCTTTTAAAGTCAACATTTTAACTCTTCAATGTCCCTCCCTCTCCCCCCACTGTCAAGAAGGAGTGAAAAATGATTTTACACGGGTTTCAAGGGCACAACTAATCAGTCTGGGATGGGAAAGAAAATTCTTGGCATCCATATTTGCTTGGCTCGATTGCTCCATTCTGGAAAACTTTCCTGTGGCCCTCGTTGGCATCTGCTGGACCGGTGCTTCGGGGAAAAGGCGGTTTCCTATGGCACTTCTTAGAGGAGACAGGGAAGGGTATAAAGAGCTAAAAACACAGCAGACCAGGTCCCTAGTAGATGGGAAAGCTGATGGCAGGGGCCGGGTGCCTCCTTAGGGTAGGGAATCTTCTCCAGTGTTGCATACGGAATTGCATCTGTCTTAATAAAGCATCAGCACTAAGAGTAAAGAGTTATCAAATAGATGTCATTTGTGCCATCACAGAGCTGACATTCTTGTGCAGGAGGCAAACGGAAACAAACGAACATCGTTAAATCACAAGTTGAGGAGAGTCCCGGGAAGCAAATAAACAGCAGAAGTGACAGGCAGTCCTGGGGGTGGGGGTCCTACCGAGATGAAGGGATCAGAATAGACCTCTCTGCAGAAGTAGCATTTGCACAGAGGAGAACGGTAAGCTGACCTCGCTGAACGAAGGCAAAGAGCGGGTTAAACGGCCCTGACAGAGATGTGCAGGGTGTGTTTGAGGAATGAAGCGGCGGCTGGTGGAACAGGGTGGAGCGAGTGGACTGAGGGTGAGTGCAGGGCACGGGGCGGAGGTCCGACCCCGCGAGGCTCCCTCATCCTCTGTGTGCGCACGCGTGTGTACAAGAGAGAGAATTCATGTGTCTGCACGCATGCCTACACAGGGGGTACATTTTTTCTGAGAGGATGACCTATAACTTTCATCAGATTTGCAATGAGATCAGTGATCCAAAAGAACTCTAAGGAGTTCTCTAAATCAAAATTGCTCTTAGTCAATCAACTAAAGCTTTGAAACAATTGTGCCAAATGCTTTTTTTTTTTTTTTTTCCTCTTCTTTTCGGCTCCTGCGAGCTCTGAATTCTAAAGCAGAAAGTACATCGTGCAGGCTGGCATGCCGGGTCTTCCCAGCGCCCGCGGGTGCTCTGGAAGGCTCCAGGTGATAGCAGCGTGTGGCAGTGACACAGTGTCCATGGCGACAGGTGGTACGAAGCCCAGATGTGCTCAGTGAGGGTGAGCACAGGAATGCAGTTTCTTTCCTTCCATGCTGCAGCAGGAGCTCAAGGCTGCAAGACTGAGTGCTGGCAGCTCTGGAGCCACAGCCCGAACCAAAGCTGCGGCTTTGCTGTGCTGGTGATTACCAGGATGATGGACTCACCCGCCTCTCTTCTGCTTGCAGCCTCCTCAATGCCAACAAGATCAACTGCTTGCGGGTAAACACCTTCCAGGACCTGCAGAACCTCAACCTGCTCTCCCTGTATGACAACAAGCTGCAGACCATCAGCAAGGGGCTCTTTGCTCCTCTGCAGTCCATCCAGACGCTGTGAGTATGCTGCCCTGGCAGCCGGAGACCCCAGGTGCCCAGCCCCACAAACACTCAGGTGTAGGCAAATTGAGCACATGCCAGAGGAGAGCGTACGGGAGAACGGAGTGATAAAAATAGCAGAGCACACCTATCTGAGCATTTCGGCAGGGCTCAGCACCAAGTGTTTGTCCCGTTTCAAAACCTATAAGCCTCACGGTCCTAGGAGGTTGGGTGCTGTTGTTTCTCCAGTTTCTATGGGAGTTTGTATGTGAGGAAATGCACAGAGAGACAAAGTAAGTTACCCAAGGTCCCCCAGCTAGGAAGAAGTGGGATTTGAAGCTAGGCACTGTCACTGCCACCACTGTGTTCTGAGCAGACTGCATTTCTACTGATAGCCTGTTCCTGGACCTTAATATAGCTGTAAAACTAAGCCTCCGAGAGAGGCACCCTGGGAATACTTCATCTCCCTCTTTGGAGAGTATTTTCTCCCTCGGCCTCCTGCAGATGTGTATAATAACTATTGCAGGAAATAGATGACTTCTGAGTACAGATCTCAAAGCATGTGTTTCATGGCTGCCACCTCAGTTTAGACCCCAGGCCCAGTCCGGAGCCTGGAGATCCCTGGACACCTCCTAGTAGGTCGCACGGTACTCCTGCTCCTGTAGCCAGATACAGGAACTAACACAGAGCAGGAGCAGCTGCTGCATAGGCATTGCGAACCATGTGCCAAGCTCTGTGTTCGGTGATCTGCAGAGCTTTTCTTAGCCAGACAGGCAAAGCCCACGGTGCTCTCAGGGTAAGGATAATCACAACAATACCCGCTACTATATATGGAACACCCACCATATGCCAGTCGCTGAGCCAGCTGCTTTATATGCCTGGTGTCCCTGAGCCTAGAGAAATAAAGCACACTGTAGCCTAAGTGTCAACTTGAATGCTCGTGACTTGTTTTGCCCGTCAGAGCTGGTGTGGGTGAGAGGAGAGATGATGGCAGTGGGTCCTGCCCCAAGTGGGGAGAGCTGGGAGGCCGATTCCCCGACCAGATGCTGGCTGCATCTGTGCCTGTCTTTGGCAGGCAGCTGGCTGTAGGCCCTCGCTTCGCTTCCTGTCTGAAAGGTGCACCCCCAGGCCTCTTGCGGGGATGAGGGAGGGAGCCCTACCCTGGGTTTCGGGGCCCAGCGCCAGGCAGGGTGGTGGTGGTGGAAAGAGCCACCATGGGCCACTCCTATTTAACAGCCTGTCCCTCTTGCAGCCACTTAGCCCAAAACCCGTTTGTGTGCGACTGCCACTTGAAGTGGCTGGCTGACTACCTCCAGGACAACCCCATCGAGACAAGCGGGGCCCGCTGCAGCAGCCCGCGCAGGCTTGCCAACAAGCGCATCAGCCAGATCAAGAGCAAGAAGTTCCGCTGCTCAGGTAATCAGGTTACAGGGGCCGGGCCCCACTTTCTGACTCAGAAAACAGCAGCCTGAGAGGCCAGTAATCCAATCTGGAGGACAGCACGCGCCATAATGGCTCCTGGGGAGCATCTTTGCAAATTAAATTGGGGAAATTCAGTTAGCCCTGCAGAAAACCAATTACCTTATGGATTTAAAATAACACACACACACACACACACACACACACACTCACACACACTCACTCACTCTCTCTCTCTCTCTCTCTCTCTCTCTCTCTCTCACCTCCCCTTCTTTTTCTCCCCCCACCCCCAGGCCTCTCTCTCTTTCAAACTATGGGGAGGGGGAGGCAAAATCCAGGTAGCAGCTTGGCCTGGGAGATAGGCAGAAACCAGGAGGCCTGGCGGTCTTTGTCTGTGTGCCCTTGAAAGGAGGCAAAGATTTATTTTTTAGTTTCCAAAGCATGTTCCCTAAATGGCAGCTAGAGAAATAAATGTGGCCCAGGCCAAGCTATAGGCACTACAGTAATCTGAGTCTCCTCAGAAACAGACTTTGCTACAGCCCTGGGACCAGAAGGCATCATGGTCTCCATCCTACCAGAGGGCTGCACTCTGATGACAGAGCACAGCAGAGTCTGGGAGGCAGCGAAGCCTTGTTCTTCTGTGACCAGGCTGTTTCTAGAAACCTCCTTCCCCACTGCATCCAGGAAAGACACAGGCATAAATGGCAGGGGAACACTCAGCCCGTCTCTTCTTGACTGATAGCTAGACGAACAGGCAGTTACAAATTACCATCATCGGTGTCACTTTCTACTGGAAAAAAATCACCAAGCTGCACTGTACACCCAATGGTAAGAGATGAATAGTGTGAGGTGCTAAGAGGGGCCAGACTCTCCCCTGGCAATCTGCATCGCAGCAAGAACAGAGCTTCTTGCCCTGCCTGAGAGCAGATCTGTGAGTGAGTTTTCCCAGGGAGTGCGCCAGCGTGGGCACTGGTCTCCTGCACGGGATCAGCAGGCAGACTTCTGCTTCGTGCTTAGCATTCTCAAATCAGATCCTTTAGTCTGTTTCCGGGATGGTAATCTTTAGCTTTCTTTTCTTTTCTTTTCTTTTCTTTTCTTTTCTTTTCTTTTCTTTAGCAGAAGCAAATACCTCAGGAAGGCTCTGAGAGCCCACAGGGAGTTTGTGGCACTGTGAGGGATTCATCCTGCTTTGCCATCCAGGGTAGTGATGGTGAACGTTACCATGGTCTCACCTGTGAGGAGCACTGTGCTGGTGCTTAGTTCGCCTTTGCCTTGCTGATAATCCTGTGAGGTCAGCCCCAGAGGTCCCTGTGCTACTGCAGAAGGAGCTGAGGGCTCAGGGGTGATAGTTCCAATCATCAAGTGGTGGGGGGCTGGACCAGAACCCAAATCTGCCAGCTCCTCAACACCTTAACACTCACATACCTCACAGCATCTACGAGAAAAGGAGCATTTCAGAAGGACATTCAGTTGCTTAGTTGGCTTCCTTCCCAGACTCATGCCTACCTCCACGTCCTGAACTTTTTCCTTAGGTACCTTGCTAGTCCAGCAGCATCTCTGGGAAGGAAATCTTTTCTGAGCACAGGCTGTCACCTAGGCCTGTCCCAGGCCCTTTCCTCGCAACCAGCATCAGCCTTATTCCATCTCTTCATAGCTTTGTCTGCCCAGGGCTAAGTTAATTAGCTTGGCTGATGAGCAGTAGCCAAGAAAGGGGACAGGAAGAGTCCGAGGACAAAAGGACACCATCTGCCAACCCCGATCCTGAGGCTCACGGGTGTCCTGCCGGTACCCCGACTCTCGGACTCATGTCAGTGCCTCGGGTGGCAGGGCAGCAGTGTAGTGAGCCTAGGGTCTGAGGACTGGCATTTCTGAGAAGCACATCTTGGCAGGGACCAAGGAATGACTGTGGGCTTGGCTTAGGGGCAGCAAGGAAGGAGTGGTAGGTACAGAAATAACTGAACAGGAGAAGAAGAAATAGGAAGTAGAAAAAATAAAGCACAGCTTTAACTCTACCTCTGCTACTACCAACCTATCTACTGTCAACCTATCTACCTTTGCATTTGCAGGATCCTGGCTTCTTTTTCTATGTGGGATAGGAATAGTTGCCAAAAAAAAAAAAAAAACCATGGGGGGGGGGGGAAGAATTCTTGAGTTAACCTTATCTAAAATATCATTTTTTAAAAAAACAATGCTAAGCAAAAAGCTTATTCCTCCAAAGGCAGAGACCTTTAGAGCTGCAGTGAGTCTGACATATGTCATCCTATATGATTTTATGTTACGAAGCTTCAGGGAAGAGGTCGAAAGAGCTACTGCTGAGCTCCAGGGGCACTGGCTTTGAGAAACACCAGGACCCGGACCTGCCTTGGCCTTGTGGGGATACAGAAACTACAGACCTAAACCTCTGGCTTTCCAGGAAGCTCCCAAAGAAAGAAGGGGGGAAGTGACACATACTAGAGTTGACAGATAATAACTCTGCATTTTATTTGCCCCTAAGAGCACCCCTTTGAAAAGGCAGCTGATGTAATTAGGAGCCAATTTGAGGGCTGCTCCCATGATACGTACAGCCCCTCCTTAGGCAGGGTGTCTGGTTTCCCAGCTGCGTTGTGCTGCCTTCCTCTATCAGCTGCATCCGCACTCTCAGCAGTGAGATCAGTTTAAGGGTAGATTCTGCCATCTGGGAAATCTGACCATAAGATTAAGTCCTGCTGCGCAGACCTTGGGGCCCATCCCTAGGGAGCCCCTGGCAGTTGAAAGAGGCTGTCTGTCTTCCATCATGCATCCCTGCTTTGTGTGAGAAGAGACTCTCATGATGAAAATTCAGGGCTGGGGGTCTGGCTCAGTGGTAAGGTGCTTGCCTGCCATACATGAAATCCTGGGTTCGCTTCCCAGCATTACAAAAACAGAAACATTCAGACGAAGGGACTCTGTGTCCAAAGATTTCAAACAAAAAGATATCTCCAAGACCTCATAGACCAGCCAGTCCATTCTAGAGATGAAGAACCCGAGGCCACCCAACAGAAAAGCCCTATGAAAAATATCGGTTGTTATTTTCAGGGCAAGGTCTGAAACCTAGGACTTCTGACGTATTGTGAAGATTCTTGATAGTTTATTTCCAGGTCTCTCTGTGTCCTTTTGAAGAAGGAAACCAAACAGGTTCATGAAATGGTTTGATTTACCCTGCTTAGGCACTGAGGTCCTGATCAAACTCCAAGTTGAATCTCACAACTAGAGTGTTGACAGAACCCCGCATGTCCAGGTGTTAAAGTGAGGTAGAGTCCACATTAAAGTTTCTGGCACCCGTCTGTAAACTGGGTGGGCTCACAAAGGTGGAGGGCCCAGCCATGACCATGGCCATGGGTGGATGGCCCGTCATTGCAGACCACCTGTGTACAATCAAGATCCTGAGAACATCTTGTTAAACAGCCCAGTCCCCAGAAAACACTGTAGAGGAATAGTGACCCTGTCCTTCCTGCCAGAGGTCATGTGGCAAAGGTCTAAGTCCCCTGGCCCTGGCTCCGCTGTCTTCAAGTTTTACACATCTCTGCCACGTGGAAGGAAGTCCAAGTTAGCAGATGCATGAAAGTGTCCCCTGACCTGTCACAGATAGGGATACAAAGACTGGCTGTCCTCACTTGGGTTCTTGGTGTCTAGGACCATTGGTAGTTGGTCACCATCCCCATCCCCATGATTTCCAGCCAGGGAGATCAGAAAGGATTGTAGAAATATGTGTATGCCCCTAATCAGTTGATGTACCCCTTTTTTCCCCTTTTCTTAGTTGAAAGAGGCCCTTATCAGGAGCCGTTATTCACTCACTGCCCTCTCAGCCCCAAATCTAAGGTCTCATTGGCTTCCCTGCCTTTCTCTACAACCAGGAAGATTTTTTTTTTTTTAAACGTCACACACCTTCTCTACTAAAACTCACATGATTTGGAATGAATGTCCATCAGCCAGAAGGTTTCTGGGGCTCCTGAGGATGCTGAGGAGACTGCTGAGTTGTGGAATGTCAGAGAGGGTCCTCTCCTAAAGAAGGGCATTGTGACTTCACCACACCAGCAGGGATTGTGGATTGTCTGTTTTGTAAGAGGATAGAGGAATGGCCTGTGACAGAACCATGTTGCAGTCGGAACTGGCCCTAAAAAGCATGCAGATGTTGCATTGCTGAGCTTGACCTCTTACTGGATCCAGTAGTGTGGTAGAATGGCCTAGGATGTGACACAGACATCTGAATGCTCTTTCCTTCCCTTGGGAAGGAGGCGCTCTGCCCTATGCTCCTGAGTATGGAGGGCTAATGGTTTCCCACCTGTTACTCTCCTTCCTCTTTTGTCTCCCCTGGGGCTGGGCACAAGGGCGGTGGGGCTGTCTTTGGAAGCATTCCAATGGAACTCCACTCTGGGTACTAATCACGCTCAGTGGGGGCCTGCTCCGGCTTCCGCTTCTCCACGCTGCTTCCTCTGAGTGCTCCTGTCCTCTCTCTGACGCTGCTTCCTGACCTTGACTCTGACCAGTCGCCGCGGGGCTTTCCTTTGTGCTTGATCTAACCATGTGGTGGAACGATGGAAACGGAACATGGTTCTGTCAAGCACCGCGGAAAGCACCGCGCTCTCCTGCAGCATGGCCCGCCACAGCCGCCACCACCGCTGGACACTTCTCCTCTGCTCTGGAGCACCGCAGCCCACCACCTACCAGACCCACCTCTCCCTATCTCAGCTTACAAAGGGCAGGAGGGTGGGAGTCTCACAGGCTTCAGATGCAGGGTGACTGGGGATGGTAAAGCACACCAGGGACAAGCCAAGATCTGTGTCTACACCTCCTTCCAAAAGATGCCTCCGCTCCCCATCTAGTCAGGGTGCTGACCAAGGAGGAATAGCTGGGTTCGAATCTTCCGTTTGGAGAGAAGAAGTATCCCCAAGACATATTCCCCCTTGTCTCAAGGGAAAATCCCAGCCCCAGGTCATTATCCCAAGTGGTAACTAACCCAAAAAGGAATCCATGCTGCTCGTGACCCTTACCTCCAACATACTGGTACCCACTTCATTTGAAGGCATGTGAGCGTGACAGCGGGTGAGGTTGGCATGAGCCCGAGACTTTGACCTTCACCTAAGTCACCTTCTGAACCTGACCCCCACTCCTCATGAATACTTGGACCCTGATCCCATGAGACCTAAAGTTGAGTCTGTTTCCTTGACCTTCAGGCACAGTAAATCCAGAGATGCTGGGCTCTTCACTGAGTGCTAACTCAGTACGAGGCGGGGGCTGTGTAGACCCTACTTTCTCTGACCTTAAGAAGAGAGATCTTAGTGCCTCCTATCTTGCTTGTTTCTTGATCCTGGGCCCAGAATAACCAGAAGATTGTGTTTTGGGTCCCTGCTGTAGAGTCTATGTCCTATCCCATGAGTGAGTCTTAGCCCCAAACTCTGACTTAAAACTAAGAGCTGGACTTTAGGTTCCCATCAAGATGTGTGACTGCCATTATCTTCTCCCTCTCAGGTTATTCCTCAGAGTCAGGGCCTTAACTATGGGTGGGTAATGCATTGTCGTGTTTACCTTTGACTTTTTTTAACATACACTGAGTGTTTACTATAGGCTAGACACCAAAACATTTTATGTTGTTGCCTCATTTAATTTTTACAAGTTCCGTTTTACAGAGAATGATACTGAGGCTGAGAGAAGTTAACTAGCATGCCCAGGGTCATTTCACTCCAGACTGGCTGTGGTTTACCTCTGTACTACTCAGCCTTGCCAGCTGTGGACACTCTCATTGCCTTGAATTAGAAAATTTGATGAACTTTTGACTTGAGTTGATGAGTTTAAAAAGTTTTAGTAGCCCCTTCCAAACCTGTATCTGTTTTTACAAATAACTTGAGAAAGAAAGACAGCAGTGTGCAACTGGCTCTTCCTCTCCAATGAGAACGTACCAAGATCTCATTGGGTACAGAGAAAATCCTCAAATGTGGGGAAACTCCCTTTCCCTTCTCACTGAGGGGCACATGCTGCATTCCTTGGCAGTGGCCCTGCCATGCCAGGAGCCAGGTCTGCCTTTGGGAGTGGATCCAAGATGGCGCCCTTCCATCAGCCCTTCTGCCCTGCCCAGCAGGCTGTGACTAGCCAGTGCTTTGAGCATTTCCCTCTGCTTTCAAGCAGATGGCTGCCCTCATACTAGACTCCAGCGGGGATAACTTACTAGAGCAGCTCCTGGCCCAGCTGTTGGCCAAACTCCTATGAAAACAGTTAGTGTCTTCTAGCAGCTGTTCTCTGGTCCCTGGCCTTGCTGGTGAGTGGATGTCCATGTGCCTGGCAGCATTCTCTTGATTCCATTTACCACTTATGACATTTGCTGGTCCACACCACTTTGTTTTCAAGCCGGTGAGCCTGGACAGGCCTTCATAATCCACCAGATTCCTCTTTCTGCTCCTTTTCTTCTTCCTCTCATCCCACCCATAGTTAGGAATATTGAAGGCAGAAGAGGAAATCTCTAGTTTTGTGAGTTAGCAGCTCCCTGCCAATGAGAAAATGAGAAATATGCAATTTCAAGCCATTGAACTAGTTGCCCGATGGATGACACAATATGCAGAGACCCTGGTTATGGTGCTGGCTTCTGACCCCAACTCAGCCATGTCCATCCAAAGAAGGAGAGCTCTGGCCCTCTTCCTGCCCCAGCCTCAGACCTTTCACATGTTGCATGTATTCCTAGCAGAAAGTGACAGCAGAGAGGAATTTATAATAAAACTGAGTTGCTGTGGATTTCTACCTTCCCCCTCCTTCTCCATCTATTAAAGCTTGATTCTGATTATGTACTAAGCGTCGTTGTTCTCAGCTGCCCGCAGAAGGGGAGGAGGGCTACAGGGCACAGGGCTACAGGGCAGGAGTAGGCACAGGTGCAGTGCCAGATGACATCAGCTCTTCCAAGGCCCGGTTCAGCTGGGCTTCAGTTTTATGGCCCTTCTTCAAATCCTCTGAGGTCTCTTCTGTCTGAACTCACCCCGAAGAAGAGAAGCAGCAGCCTATTTCAGTTGGTTCTCTCCTGCTAAGTATTTCTGGCAGTGACAAATACGCATTGAGATTGAAATTGACTTTTAAAGCTCTGGAAAAGTTAAAAATACTTTTGGGTAGTTATGAGCATTAGGCATAACAAATGGCTCCAAGAAACCCTGGGTAGTTTCGGTAATGAAATACGAAGTGATGGTGGTGGCCTTTCAGGCTGGCTCAGATTGGGGAACAAATTTCTTTGGTTATGTACATACACCGATATTAACATTTCTGGGTCACACCCATATAAAATATCACTCTGCGACCCCCTCGTTACTGCAAACCAGGGCAATAACAAAAACAGCAAGGGGAAAAAATGCTGCAAAGAACGCATTAGTCCATCGAATCTAATTGCGAAATCATTTCATTAAAATGGGTCAGCGGCTCCATTGCAGAGGTCCACCAGTTATAATCTAACTGTACTACTGAGAGCGATTGCCACTAACTACGGACTGTTCTCACCTTGATTAAAACGAAAATGCGTTTAATAGGTGGCTGTCCCCAGCCTGCGCGAGTCTTCAGGCTCATCATGTTGAAAAGCAAAGTGTGCTCCCTTCTGTCTTTCTGCCTTTGACCAGCAGCAGCATTCTTCTGCTTTGCCAGGATCCCGTTATAGATGTATTCTGAAGGAAAAATATCCACACTTGTGCAGAATGCCCCCTTCTCACCATTGCCATGTGGATGCCCTAGTAGGAAACAAGAGTGAATTGTCATGTTGGCAAGGTTTGCTGAACGCAGTTCGCCCAGGATGCGGCCCGTTAAAGTGTCTAGGGAAAATGGTCCAGGTTATAGTTACTCAGTGGTATCGATACTGGATAGCCAAGGGTAAGATATTTGCGTAATACACCAGACTGGGAAGCTCCCCAAATGGCTGTGAGGATAACAGGCAAGAACTGTGATCCTGCACGCCTGGGATGAATGGAATAGGGAGGGAGCAGAGCGGGAGAGGAGGATGCATCCATGCTGCTGACTGTTAAGTAGATACTATCAAGTGCGCTCCCCATCAGCAGTCGGTGCAGGACGGTGATGTGAGCAGAGAGACAACAAAACAGAAGGCAACATCTGCTTTCTCCCTCACCCTGGCCCACTGGAGAAAGACTCTCATTCCATCCACTTCCACCATGTTTGGCTTTATATCATTCCCAGAGGCCCTGAGATAGCTTTGTTTTGTTTTTAATCGAAAAGCACATTTGCAGTAAAGCATAGTGTTAGTCCTGGATTTGACCCAGTGCCACCCGCTGAGTACCCAGTAGGCCTCATTTCCCTTGTCTACAAAATAGAATTAGAACCTCGGGGTATTGCAGGGATGAAATGGAATCACTCGTTTGAAGTTCAAATAGCACCTGGTTCCTGGTACATGCTCAGCAAATGTCAGCTTTTACTGTCGGCACTGCTGAGGCTTTAGTGGCCTCTGACATCCCACGTGTTCTGCCAAGTTCTAGGCAAGAACAGCAGCAGAATCATAGGCATCCATGCCTTGCTTGCCTCCTTCCAGGAGTCTCCAGTTCCTTGGTCTTTGATCTTCACACCAATCCCTGTGATACAGGAGCAGTTATTTGACTCTGTCTTGCTGGGGGAGAGACTTGAGCTAGTAATTAGCAAAGCCTGGCCAAACCCATGCTCTCCCTTGCTCAGACCTGCAGACAGCCTCCTCAGGCCTCTTGTTGCTCCTAAGGCAGACAAGATCACCAAGGCACTGCGCCCACTTGCTCAGCAAACCAGTGACGTTCACTCTCTGTGAGATGCTCCACCGGTATACACGGGACCCTCACTGCCAGTGGCACCCTGCTCGTGCCCTGGACAGATACGGATCTGGGGCCCGACAGTGTGCTGATGAAAGGAGACGGGTGAGAGAATGAAGATGACCCTGCCCCGTCCATGAGCTCATGTCTGATAGGAAGACCAGAGTGCTCCTATTACCACCCGCATAATTCATGGGCTCACAGAGGGCTGCTAGGCTGAGACATCAGATTGTCGGTCTCCTTACTATTACTGTGTGACCTTGGAAGAATCACAATTTGGAAAAGATAAATCTCAGCTCCAACTTTTAGCTCATGGGAACTGGTCTTCTACCAGAGTTAAATAAAACTTACTCTCTCAGGCTGAGGTCAAATCTGACCCTCAAATGCATCCTGCTTATGTTGACGGTGTTTCCAATTAGAATTATTTACCACTATTTCTGAAGTATCTGGGGTCTCTTGGGGAAAACAAAGGAAAAAAGGAACAGCAGGCCCCTCTGAGAGAAATTCTTAAACATTAAGACTGTGGGCTCCAATTCTCCAGATAACCTCATTGTCATCTTGCTGATAGGAAAGGCAGACATCAGTGGTCATTTATGGCTATATGCTTGGCGTCTTTCACTTTTTGTTATCTGCAAGGCCTGGAAGACAGCTGAGTTTGTGACCTTTACCGTATCTTATTCCCACCCCTGGAATGTGCCCCCATGAAATCTGTTTCAAAATCTCCCATCTGGATTATGATGAACATTTAGAAGGCCCTTGTTTTTGAGCAATTGTAGAGCAGGTGGCCTCCCTAAAAGTGTCAGCTGTTTCTATACGTATCTTGGATTATTTCTCTGGGCAGAACATTCATAATTTTCATCAGCTCCTCCATAAGATCTGTGACCCACAAAACCATTAAGAGCCCCGGATCTCAAGCCTGGTTTTCCTGAGGACAGGAAATGATAAATGATAAAGACCACAAGGAAAGCAGAGGAGGCTGGGGAGGGGCCGGTGAAAGCACCAACAAGGGGGCCAAGTAATGAAGATGACACCACTGTGTCTGTCATTTGAGTCCTCACGCCTACTACCTGTGACCTCAGGCCCCGATCCAGGGGACCCCGGTGACACTGACACCCTCTTTGGCCCCGCCCAGGCTCCGAGGATTACCTCAGCAGGCTCAGCAGCGAGTGCTTCATGGATCTCGTGTGCCCTGAGAAGTGCCGCTGTGAGGGCACCATTGTGGACTGCTCTAACCAGAAGCTGGCCCGCATCCCAAGCCACCTCCCTGAATATGTCACGGACCTGTAAGTCCTACCTGTGCACGCACTCCCTACCCCTCCCTACTGAGACCCATGGGCACTCCTTGGCCTTCTTCTGTGTACTAAGTCAGTGGTGACAGACCTGACATGCATGCCACAGCTAGCTGCTAGTTATCTCTGAAAGCGCTAAAAGGTTTGCTGTCACTGTATGAGGCTGAGGACAGGCACCCAGGTATTTGTGGGCAACTTGCTTGCAAAGAAAAACAGTTTGTTCATTCTAAAATATTTTTGGAATGCCAGTGACTGTGATGGGTCTATAGTTTCTAGAGTAGATAAGGCAGACAGCCCCTACTGTAAGTCCCTGTGGGATTTATACAGTAATACCTTGGTTCATGACCTCTTCTGTGTGCCAACAATTCAACCCGCAAACAAAAGCATTTGGCAAAATTCTGCTTCCATTCACAAACTCCACATCGGGTAACAAACACAACCACGGCCATCTTCCCCACACAAACATAAATGCAGCCATCTACCCCCAAAACTGTAAAAGAAATTAAGTTCATAAGCCAAGGTACCACTGTAGTTCTTTCTAGTTCACCAGAAATACAAGGATTCAATAAAAAATTGCAATGGAGCAAGAAAACCACTGTTGTAGAATGATTTGAAATATCTGAGCTTCCTGCTAGTCATGGCAATAAAGGGTGGAGCTTTCTTCAAAGGTGGAAAAGCTAAAATATATAGCATAAAAGGCAGTAAGGGCCCACTAGAAAGGGACAGTGGGACCCAAGTCTGATGCCTCTCCCCTCCAGTCTTCCTAAATCTTGCCACATGGCATCTGAGACCTGAGGCTCGGTTTGTTGGCTGCAAAATTTGGATAAATAGTGCCTCGCTTTTAGGTTAAAAGATTAAGAAAGAGACATGAGCACAGACTTGGAGTAGATTAAGCTCTAAATAAATGGCAGGAGCATGATTGTTCTTACTATTCGCTTTGGCTTCACATTGTAGGATACAGCAGCCTGCCTCCCTTGAGTATGTAGAGATGTTGAGCATGGGGTCCTGAGGCACCTCTGGTAGAAGGAAGTGGTCAGGAAGCAGCCAAGCGGCTCAGAGGCTTGGGAGACCCTGGAGGAAGCTTCCTGTGTTTTTTAAGTTGCCATTGGTACCCACATAAAATGAAGGCAGATTCTTGGTTATTGGTCAGAAACCAAAAAAAAAAAAAAAAAAAAAAAAAAA